TATCCACTAGTTGCTGTAGTATAGATTTAGTCTGGCAAGTTTCTGTCTATGAGGTATAAGCAAATAAAGGAACTTAAGTCAACTGGACTGTTTCACCGTTGTTCTTAGGCTGGGCCTGACACTTTTCCACATATTCTTCATTTGTTGTCTGAGATGTTTGGTACACTAGCTTTGTGATTCTCTGCAGATAGGGAAAAAAATAGAGGTTGGTTGGTTGGCGGTCAGTAAATGAAGAATCAGTTACATAATGAGCTGGTACAATGGCTGCTTATGGGGATATTTTGGTGAGGGGAGGACTCAAAACGGCCCTTACTTGCAACAAAGTTGATAGAGAAGAATTGTCTTGCCATCTTACTTCCTCTGCTGTAGCCAGATCAAATGTTTGCTGATGAAGATATTAAAAGACCTGGAATATAACTGCCAGTCAAAGTATAGATAGTCCTTGCTTAACAACCATTCATTCAGTGACCATTCAAAGTTACAACGGCACTGAAGGAATGGTACTTACATGCGGCCCCCAAAGTTATGGCCTTTGCAGTGACTCTGTGGTCATGTGATCAAACTTGGGGTGCTTGGCAGCCCACTCACACTTATGGCTGCAGGGGCACTTCAGCTCCCCCCATCCACCTATTCCCCCCCCCCATCTCTGCCCTTTTGGCCTCCCTGCACAACAGCATTCCTTGGTGGCAGCAGCAGCACTGGGATTGAAGTAGAGGTCTGGGCCTTTAGCAGTCTCAGCCAGCCACCACAGCCACCCCCGGGCCTCTACTTCAGCCCCAGTGCTGCCAGGGCCAGCCACCCCAGCGCCACAGTGCAAAGCCCCAGCCCCCTCACCTCCTTCCGCTCTGCCAGCCCTGCCACACCCAGCTGACCCTCACCATCTTCCTCCTCCCGCTACTGACGAGGCACGCCCGGCCTGGCCCTATGCGAGGCAGCTGGCTGCAGCATAGGGCATGAGGTGACACACGGCCCTGGACCTCTACTTCAGCCCCAGTGCCAGTGCCACCACAGAGTGCTGCTGTGCAGGATGTCCAAAAGGGCAAAGATGGGGCGGGGAGATAGGTGGGTGGGGGGAGTTGAAGAGGAGGCAGTCCCTTACCCCACCAAGGCTTGGGGCTGGGAGGGACCAAGCCAGGAATGGCTTGGATCGGAGCAGGTCCTTGTATAAATACTGGTGGGATTTGTTTAGTGATGGCCACGGGGACTGCCGGGATTTCCGTCAATAAGCAATGTGGTCATGTGACATTGCACTTTATGACCATGTCACTTAGTGACAGAAATTCCGGTCCCAATTACTGCCATAACCTGAGGACTACCTGTAGATCAGCTTTTCCCATCTCGTAAGCATACATCAGGACTTCAAACATCTATGTGACCATTAGATGGCAGCAAAGAGATATTATAAATGCCATCCCTTTGCTGCCATCTAATGGTCATTTGGAGCTTTGCAGTCCTGATATAGTAGCTAGCAAAAAAGCATGCCAGTATAAATAGCGCTTTCCCATTGCTGATCCCTAATCTGGCAGAGACACCAGCAATGGGTGATGTCCTTATGTTTCAGGTAAGGAAAGGGTTTGGTGGATTCCCTTGGCTTTATTCCCCCAGCCAACAATCATTCTCTGTAACATAGAGAAGGGTATACAGGTTGTCCTCAGTTAACGATCATAATTAGGACCAGGAACTCTGTCTCTAAGCAGTGCAAGTCATAAAGTGAAAAATCACATGGCCATTGCTGACTTACAATGGCAGTTCCAGCAGTTCCAGTTTGCAGTCATTAAGCGAATCCTGCATGGTCGTTAAGAACAATGTCACATGGCTGCAACTTGCAACTTCCTGCTGGCTCCCCTATTGACTTTGCTTGTCAGAAGCCAGCAGAGAAGGTCACAATTGGCGACCACATGACTGTGGGACATTGTGTCCATTGTAAATGCAAGCCAGTTGCCAAGAGCCCAAATCATGGGGATGTTGCAATGGCCACGTCGAAGACAGATCATAAGTCTGA